CTGAAGCAAAATTTGAAGCGAATTAAGATTTCCGAATTTTCAAATTAGAATTCTGCACAATATGAAAAACTCCTCCTATTTTGGCTTCATTTCCTTAAAATTTAGAGTTAGAGATTTCAACCACAGACTCTTAACATTGAATAACTCCTCCGATAAAAGCTGAATTATATTAATACAAAGAATTCTAGTCATAGAACTTTGTATTTTGCAGTTTAAATATTCCTCCTTTTGAGGTAGTTCCACAGTATTAGTATGTATTATTTGTAGATATCACATAATCAGCATTTGTTATTGAAATTTGAGAATCAGTTAATGCCGTAAATACTTGATCTATTGTTTGGAATGTTTTGTTTTTTAAGGGGTTATATGTTTTGCATTAGAAAACTGAATTTGAGATGTTGAAAGTAATAGAATTTTAAGCACTGTATAAAAAAGCACCCTCAGGGGAATGAAAATTTTAGAATGTAGAGTTTTAGACTTGTACTTTTGATGCTTTAAAAATATTCATGAAGCCCCCTCTACTTACAGAAATAGCATCTTGAATTTCAATATTTGAAAAGTAGAGTTCTGCAAAGGGATTCGATAAGAAAATAAATCCTCCAGTTTTTGCTTAGTTTCTAGATATTTACTTTGAGTTTGAGATTTAAACCACGGTCTTTGATGTACTTGAATCAACCAATCTTAGATAAATAAAACCACCATCACTTGTTGCATTGCAATAATAAACTCTAATTTGATCTAGCTTCATTTAGACATTATAATCAGAATAAATTACACCACCATAATTTGCTTAATTGTTGTAAAACTATGATCCTGTAAAATCTAAATTGCATTCATTGCAATTAATTGCACCACCTTTTGATGCAATATTGTTTTAAAATATTGAATTTTCATCAATAAATTTGGTTTTGTAAAGATTGAAAACAGAACCTACATCTGGTGATCTACAATTTTAAAAGATGGAACTTTAAGAATATAAACCAAAAAACATCGAGTTCTTTATATAAAATACTCCAAGACCTTATTATTCTGAAATAGTTGAGTAGTAAGCTTTGTTTTGTAAGCATTCTATAGTAGTGTTAATCATTCTCAAAAGAACTTTTGGTGACTCTGAGTAAAAAACATGTCCTCCTTAACTAATTTAGATATCGGTTATATAACTCTGAACTAGATCTATCTATTGAACCTTGTCTTATTCTTATTAGAAATATATAATACCACCAAGACTAGTTGAAAGAATTTTAGAAAATGTACAATTTGTAAATTTAATTCTGTCAATATGTCTTTTAAGTGATAGGATACAGCCTGAAGTTTCGTATATAAAATTCTTAAAGGTAATATTAAAGAAATCAAGTGAGTTATATGTATTTATAGATTGAAATGTT